CCACACAGCCTTGCTTCGAGTGTGGCTCACAATCTGACACAAGAGACATCCAGGCAGCAGCAGTCCCTCATTTTCACATCTCTTCCTGCTGGGGATTAATGGCCTTTAGGCTCAAGGAAACAGACACATCCTTGGCTACTGCAAAGGCAGATCTTTCCCATTCCACCCTCTCCACCTAATGTCTGGCCCACTTGTTTTCCACGAGCCTTCTCAAATCCACTCTTAAAATGATGGAGCAGGATTTTCCAAGGGATTTGGGAGTGCCTCAAATGCTAGGCTGATATAAGCAAGTCCTCAGGAACAGAAGGGGGAACCATTACCCCAAAATACTTACTTCCCAACAGACTCACTTTGGAAGAGGTCATCGAGAGGACATGACCACCGGGTGACCCAGGAGCTCGACCTGGGCACTCAGAGGCTCCTCACCCCCTCTCCTGTCTTTGGAATGTCCGCTCTGCCCACCATTCCCAGAGTGGGAGCCATCTGCAAGGACACAGCCCTGGGAGAATAAGGGGTTGTTGAGCTCCCTCTGGACTGAATACATACCTGAACCCCATTAAGGTCGCTATGAAAACCTAAAGATTCTGGCAGGCAATACAGTATGGAGAGCTATTTAGCTTGCAGCGGCTCAGACAAAGCTTATATGTAAATTTCCTTGCCAATTAAACCTGCACCTACCTTGTCTTGAAGGTCTACAAGGTAGACCTTGACACAGACAAGACACCCATGTCTTGTCTACCGGAGGTCTCCTTGCCCTCCGGTACCCAGCTGGGCTTCAGATTATACCCGGAAACTCCCAGGGCTGCAGATCAACAACTCATAATCAAAATTATTACAAAACAGGCAATTGGTGGGACAGGGTCCAGCTCCTGGCATCACCGTGCCTCCTCCATGCAGCACGCTACGCTTTTCCTTTTTTCTCTTTTCCTCCCAGCCATTCATACTCCAGGGGCATTTTGTTGTTCCTATTTTACAGATGAGGAAATTGAGGTTCAGAAACACAACCAACAGGGTTTTTGATTGCCCATTGTGTTACTTTAAGAGCCACCCATGTCTTGTCTCTGTCTGGGCTCAAGGCTGTCCAGGTGTCAGGGAGCGCAGTACAGGTGCCTTGGGTCCTTCCAAGGGCGGCCACCGCTGGCTCCTGTTCATGCAGGTAAATGCAGCGCTCATTGGAGAGGGCTTTGCTTGAGGTGTGCATCCCCCCAGACCAGAAAATAGCTTCCCGGGTAGAGCAGACACTAGGGAATAAGAGAACTATACCATGCAAAAACTTAAAAGTGGCTTTTTCCTTTTATGGTTTTACTAAGTATTGACAAAAGCCAAGACAGCAGGTCTCCACAACTCATTTGGATAGCCTGGTTATGTGAACATCGACTTTGTTTCTACTCAAATATTTACATGTTTTTTAAGTCTCATCCATAAAAAATGGGGGTTGTCTGCACCCTATGTTTCTAACACCTAGGTAGAAGGATTAATTTTCTAGTCACAAAGTAGCCATGCAAGGACATCAAAGGTTGTAACTGGGCTATTTCAGCTGGCTGGAATCTCCTGGCCACCAAATGCATTCACTCAGTGTCCACAGAGGGAAGTAATGAAGAACACCCTTGGGTGTCAGGCAGAAATCAGGCCTGGGTCTGATTTCTGGTGTAGCCACTGATTAGTTTTGTGAACTTATGCAGGTTAATGTTTTCTACAAGTCTTAGGTCCCCATTTTATGATGTTCTAATGAGCACTGTTCTACCTTTTGGATGGGGTTGTGGGGAGGAGTCTAGGCCATTGCTTCCCTGACTTCTGCTTTGGTAGTTGGGATAATTAATAGTGAATTTACACACACACACACACACACCTTTGGAAATGACATGTGATAGAAAATGAATTGCCTCTTATAGGTCTCAGGAAGGCAGCAGTGAAACATTCATAAGCTTTGCAGTTTATAACATTTCAAGCAAGTACTCTGAGTTGTTATTTAAGATAACTCATTAGGTTTAGCGTTCATCTTAACTGCCTACTTGTAAGCACTTTTGTTTTCCTTGCAGTTTGAAGAACCGGGTTTCATGACTGAATATTACTCTTACTATAGACTTACTCGTTCCAAATTCTGGATGATTATCTTTTTTATCTTGACTACTTAAGAAAGTTTTTCCCCATGGATAAAACTAATATTGATTCAACCGATGCTTACTGAGGTCCTACTGGCAGGTGCGCTGCTGGGCACTAGGCAGACGGATGCCAAGAAAAGTGAAAAAGGGATTCTTCCCCCAAGGAGCTCATCATCTAGTTCTGGGTGTCGACCCCAGACCATCAGAGTCAGCATCATCTGGGGACTTGTTAGAAATGTAAATTCTCAGGCCCCACCCCAGACCCAATTACCTCAGAAACTCTGGGGTTGACCCCCAGCCATCTGTGTTTGAAAAAGTCTACTTCAAACAACTAGCATCGTCATCAAATGTCAAAACAACAAATATGTTAGTTTATTAACTAAATCTCAAAGTTTCATTTATCTTTTGAGGAAACAAAGGCCCAGAGGCCAAAGTCCACATGAGGTGGAGAAATTAAAACCAGAACTCAGGTATCCCCCCACCCCCCACAGACACACACCCAACCCTACACACAGCCAACATCCTTTTTCTTTTCTGATGCTTTAATCCCTAAATCTTATGGGGACCCCTAAGTATTTCCAACCCAAAGTGTAAACCTTCCTTTTTCAAAGAAAACAGAAAAACAGAGAAACTACTCTCTTTGAAAATAAGGACCACTAACAAAAATTTAAATCTGATCTATCAAAACCATCCACTAAACTAGCAGTAATTTCCCAAACCTTTAACACGTCCAAGTTCCATTTACAAGATTTGAAAATTTGGAAGGCTGGGGGAGAGAAGTATAAAAATGCAATGCATGATCAGAATAAAATCTGGAAAAAATATACAATATGTAGAAATGTCAACCGTGGTTCACCTTCCATGGGAGAATTACAAACGATCTTTTTTATATATATATTTTTCTGAGTTTCTCCCAATGGTTATATATTACTTTGGTAATCAAGAAAAAAAGTAAAACTGTTTTTTGAAATGTTACCTCCAAATCACTCAACATGAAGGTTTATTTTATAATTCCATTTCTCTCCATACAGCAGGAAACTGTGTGTGTAGTAATTATTTATATCATGCCATATGTTACAATGAAGATGAAACTCAGTAAATATATTCCTTCCAGCTGGCACTAAAAATGAAGAGGTTAAATGCTTTCCTAGGTTCAAAGCACTATGAATTAAGATAAGCTAACTGTGAAGCTAAAGGAAACATTTATTGAAATCTCTGAGAGCATCCCTTTTGAAAAACATTGATGTGACACATAGCTCCTTACTCATTCCGCCCTGATGTTTAACCCCTGGCACAAAACAGAATGTTCAGCAATTCCTGGCAAAGTCTTAGGAGTTCAGGGGATAAAATGCATGGGAGAATATTAGAGAAATAAGAAACAGAATGATCCTACTTTCACATAAAATTCTGTCCCTGTGGACAAAAAGACATCCAAAATTACTGGCAAATTTCATTGTCCTCAATACCCTTTTAAAAATGTTCTTCTTTCTCAAGAAATGTTTGCTCATTTAAAAAATATCTAGATTGGCTACTTTATTCAATGAGTCATAAGCAAATAGATAAATAAATAAGGACCATCTCATTTAAAAAGATTTTTCTGCCACAAAAGCACTGCTGTAATGTTTCACTTTATAAGACAAATTCAACGCTTGAAGAAAAATTAGCATTGTTTTACTGAAACTCCGAGCAAAATAAATGCAGTGAGTGTTAATTCAAGTCTCTTAAATGAGGCAGGGAAGTAAAGTTAACCAAGGTGATGACTATGGAAAAGGAAATTCTAGTGGCTACCTGTTTTACCAAAATACCTCACAACAGCTGACGTTTCTAGAATTTACACACGCTTTCAGGAAAGAATGAGTTATGGGGGGGTATATATTATACCCCAACATTTATAGTATCTAAGATCACCAGATTTATGCAACAATTTGCCTTGTCTGTAGTATCAGAGAACTCAGAAAGAACTTATTGTCTTGAGTTTGGCTGTTTTGCATGCAAACTTTCACTTACAGAGGTACTTCTCCAAAGAGCCTCAAATTTCCCTCAGTCCTCTGCTTACTTTCTTTGAAGGAGCAGTCTCACCCATTGCAAAATTAATAAATTAATAATAATAAATAATATAAAGAATGTACAACTCACAGAAAGTTTCTCCAAACCCCAGTTCCCATACCCATCTGCCTATGAAAATTGATCTATAGAAGGCTTGCTGTGAACATAATGAAGCTAAACCTACAAAACGATCCCCTTTCAAACACTTTTTGGCAGAACACACAAACTTGTGGCTCAGTCTGTAACTCCTATAGACACGTAGAAACCTGGTTCTTATTCTTCCATCTCTCATCCCCCTCTGGTGAGAAAAGGGTCCAATGTTGGGTTTTGCCTAATACTGCCTATTTTTGCAGTTTTACTTTGGGGCTGCTGAAAGGTATTGATTAGAAACTACCTGCAGATCCAGCTGCTAACCATTGATAAATGCTGAGGGAACAATCCCAAGTCAACGAGCCCCAAAATACCTTCAATTTGTAACACAGAAATACCACTCCTCTCACCAACAAATAACGTTCCTACTCATCAAATTTAAGAAAAAAATAAAATACAGCAGCTTTCATTCTGAACAAAATTAAATTTTCTGGGTCACTTTTTTCTGTCTCACCCGGCCACGTTTACAGCCTGACGGTGACGGTAAACACGGTCTCTTCTCGCAGCCAGTTTAGTTGTCGCCCTCTGAGAGCGAATATCTTACGGTTCCCTTTCCTGCAGCAGTTCCCAAAGAAGAGATCTCCCACCCACCCTGCCCTCCACACCTCACCACTCGCTTCCCTTTCCTCCAAACCGCAAAAGGGCGAGCTTCTTCAGAGAAAAAGTTAATGAACGTCCGCTTCTGGGGTAAAGGTGCCCCACCTGCGATCACAAAATCAGAAGACTGGAAGTACCTAAGAGCACGTACCCTCTGCTCGCTGGACCCAGTCAGTGAGCGCTTCACACCCAGAAACCCAGAAACATGATTTATATGCAGACCTGCACCCATCCCACACAAGTCCGCACGCCAGCTTGCCTAACCACTTATGTAAGCTCGTGCCTCTACAGTCCCAAACTGCACACACACACACACACACACACACACACACCGACACCTGTCACGCATCTGAAATGGACAGCATCCACACCCAGGAGATGAAATGAAATCAACACATATGAATTGGGGAAGGGGGGCTACCGTTTTAAAAACATCTTTTCCCCCATTTGTTTCTTGCCCGTTTTTGTCACAACTACAATTACCTTAGCAACCAAAGAATTGCACTGACTCCCCCTCCGGCTTCTGAATTTCTCCTAAAGCCAAGCTTGCGCCAGGTTCATGGTAAAGCTAGAGAAGCCCAGGGAACGAGGGACCCGCAGCCTCTGTGGGGCGGAGGGCACGTCCGAGGCGGTCTCCCCTCTGCTCTCCAGCGACCCGCCTCGTCTTTGCGACTTGCTGCGGTGGCGAGCGCGGGGCTCAACGAGCGGAGAGCGAAGCCCGGGGCCGGCGAGGAGGCGCGGCTGGTCGCATGGTGCCTGGACGCGGGGCGCTCGGGGGTCTCCGGCGCTCGCCCCTCGCCCGCCTCGCCCGCCCCAGGCCTCCGGGCTCCGCGGAGGTCGGTCCGCCCCCTCGGCGCCCGCCGGTTCCCGCAGCTGGAGGAAGCCGGAGCCGGAGCCGGACGGAGCTCTCGCCGCGAGCAGGGCCGGGCTCAGGAGCTGCCCCAACTCGCGAAGCCGCTCAGCTCCGCCGCTAGCGAACCGCCGCAGCGGCGCCCACTGTCGGGTGTCGAGCAGAGCTGCAACCCCGCCCGCGCGCACCTGGGCGCCAGCACCTGGGCCCCGAACCGCACGGCGCGGGGCGGGGCAGGGGCGGGGCCGGGCCGGGGCGGGGGCGGGG